AAACTTAAAAGTACATATTAGGGTAAGTACCACCCTTAACTAACCTACTACTACTAGTATAACTTAGTTATTTGTAGGTAGTGTGTATAGTAGTTATCTCTATATATATATATATATATATATATATATATCAGCAATGATTTCATGCAACCGTTGTATAATAATATGGTGCAACAACCTTAAAAAACAATCTTATGACCATTTGTTTGATCCAAATTTTGAAATATACACTCTTTTCATTCTAATGAACAATCACAAAAAACGAAAAAATTGAAAACACAACCTAAGAAAGTAATTTTTTAACCCAATTAATATAAGCCGTTCATTTTGGTGAGATGCTTAGATCTAAGCATTAGAAGGATTTTTTCATTTCCAATTTTTTTGGATGGCTTTATTATCATGAGATGAACAATGTTAAAAAAGAAAAAAATGATTTTGAGTTTATAAAGGCTATGATCTTGAAATGCACAAAGTGAATGGTCTAGATTCGTTTTTTGAGGGACTCATTTTAACCATATCTAGGGTTCAAATTGAACTTTTATTTTTTGGGAGATTGATTATTGAGATGAAGAGAGTGTGTGTGCAAAATTTGAGATCATACAAATACCACAGACATGGTGTGTATGTCTGCATCAAACACTTAAAGGTCACTTTCTTTTTCCATTATTTAATATGTAGAGAGAGAGTGAGGCCACATGGGTCCATGACCCCATGTGTGTGTAAGAGAGGTCCCACATTGAACATTTGGAGGACATGTCCTTTTTCTACTTATACGTAGAGAGAGAATGAGTCAATGAGAGAGAGAGGAGGGCCATTTGGAGGTCATCTTCCTCTTTTTCTTCTTGTTATATGTGAGGAGAGCATACGTCCATCTGTGTTTGGGCATGTGTGTTAGAGAGAGAGGCCTTGCATCGAATACTTGGAGACCAGCTTCTTTTTCTTCTTCTTGTACGTAGAGGCAGAGCACATGGACCCATGAACAAAAGAGAAGGGCCTTAGCTATTTTCATAGGCCTTAACTATTTTTTTACTTTTCCAAATTAGGATTTACATTTTTTTTTTAAAAAAAAAAAAAGGGGTGTTGGCACTAGGCAGGCACCAAGGTATAGAGCACCGCCTAGGCCTTTATTCGTTTTTTCTTCCCAGCCGCCTAGGAAGCCAAATTTTGAACAATGGCCTCAGCATAGTTGAAACCTTCACTAAACCTTAGTAACAACGAATTTAAATGAAGATGATCATGGACAATATGACAAACATGTAAAATAAATCATTCACATTTTTATCAATTCTGAGTTCAAATATGGCGACAAAATGCTTATGAAATGTGAGAACATATACAAGGGGAATGACCAAGAGCCCAGATAAAGTAAAGGAGGTGAAATTGCAAACACATTTACTGCAAGCTACACAGGATATCAACAGGAACCATAAAGCATAACTATTGTAAACTTCACGAATATAACAGCACCAAAACCTAGAAAATATAGGTTTGGACCTGCCAAAAGAGACAGGATTCCTTGTTTTCAAACCATTTAAAAAACTAAATGCAGTCACCTTTTTGACATTCTAATGATAATAGCATGACTACAATGGAATTATTAGCACAAACTACTTATCTGGAATTTCTATTCAATTAATTATTCCACAGAGTCTAAAATGAAAGGAAGAAAATGATTTACAGACCTGCAAGCAAGGAAGAATGGGAGGTCTACGCTGTTGTAAGAAGTGAATGCACATAAGCACATATCTGAAAATCAAGGGCAAGTAAGAGTAAGCAACACACCGAACAGGTAATCTCGGTTAAAATGCTTCCATATGATTATTAACTTCATGCAAGAAGTGCATCAGATGGTTACGTTTACTCACGCATAACTAGAAAGCGTGCCTCGATAAGTTTCATTAACTTGCCGAGACTTTGCCCAATGTTTCACAATAAAAGCCAATTGTCGCAATCTGACATCTATTTGCGCATAATCATGAAGTAGTTTTGTATTAACAACCGCTAAGACATTATTTATGCAGATATCACATGAGATTCCAGTCCCTGGGTCCATCAGCTTTACAATTGGGACACGAGCATGAGTAAGAGCCTGCACCAAATTGCAACTTGAGCAAATAAACATCTCGGAGAAAAATACCCACAGATGCACCAATGCAAATGGTATACATTGTATAATGATCACTCTACATTAGGAATTCATGCATTAGCACCCGTGGAAAGAGGGATAAAGATTCATAAGACAAACCAACCAATATTTCAAAAGGCACTAATAAAAAATATTGATCTTAACATCAAAGATAAAAATAAAAAATATAATAAATATCATTAACATAATCAGTAACAGAATTATACGGAATTTTTTTTTTGGAAAGTTAGAATTATATGCGAATTACTTTACAAAAAGATATAAACAATAGTTCTTTGCCAACTTCAACATACATATATAATAGGGAAAGCAGCTAATAGAACAGAATTAAACTTACATGTACATGTGATATGTATTTTAATTTTGTAAAAATTCATAAAAAATATATTTTAAGTATTCGTAATTTTGTACACGTGATATGTATTCTTAATTTTGTAAAAAGTCATAAAAATTTAATAACTCATTGTAGAAAATCTAAAAATTCTTCAAACACTAATTTTATAATGAAATCGTGTTATTAAAATTTTTAAGATCTTAAAAATAGAGAAATTAGTCATAAATATAATTTCAAACCATGGGAAGCCACAATTTAAGTGTTATTATTTTTCGTAGTTTGTGCGAACTATTGAGGGATCAAACTTACGAGCTACACTATGAAGCTCTGGGAGAGAGTGATTGGAAATGAGGATGTTGAGATGGATGAGTGGCAAAAAGGGATGGAATTCCAAAAATATATATTCGGAAAAATTTAGGTGTGGCACCAATAGGCAATAAGATGAGAGAGTAGACTTAGGTGGCTTGGCCATATGCGCCACAAGCCCAGTACGACACTTCTTAAGAGGTGCAAGTTAGTTCAAGTGGAAGGCTCAAAAGAGTAAAGGGTAGGCTCAAAAGGACATGGTTGGAAGTAGTGAGAAAAAATATAAAAACTTATGGCCTCACTGAGGGAATGGCCCTTAATAGAGTAAAATGGCAGTCCAGGAATCATGTAGCCGTCCCCAATTACTTGGGAAAAGGTTTGACGATAATGATGACTATTTTTCATAGTAACTGGAAATTTAATTAAAATTATTCAAAAATCGAAAATTTCTTACAATAAAATTATTCAAACATATAAAGTTTTTTAGTAATAGTAAAAAGAAAGAAACTATAGTTTCAAATTTGCTATTTTTCTTAAAAAGTGAGCATAATTTATGAGGGAACAAAACAGAGATAACGGTTAAAAATTTGGCATAATTTTCAAGCACTTAGATAAGTATAACTAAAAAATTTGTCATAAACTACTTTTGAAGAGTAGAACCTATTTTATAAGCACTTAATAATTTATTTTTAAAATCCAGAAATTTCTCATAAACAAATTTTAAAGATGAAATTTAATGAAATGAAACAATAATTTTAAAAAATTTTAAATCTTCTTTCAAATAGAGCAATTAGTCAAAAATTTAATTGAAAACAATCTAAACTTATGAATTTAAGAACATAAAATTATAAATCCATTATTTCATGGGTAAGCTTTCTATACTCTCCTACTGCATAAAACTTATATACTTCCCCCTATCCAACCGTCCATTCTAAATGGGCAGTTGAGATGGCCCCAATCACAACGTCACGTCTCTACACTATTTTATTTTTAATTTTTTTTCTACAAAATATTTTATCACCAAATTTTGAGCGTTCACTCATCTCTTAAACTCGCACTCAGAAAAATATAAAAAAAAATATTTTCAATAAAATAAAAAGACCAAAATACCCCTAAAAGTTTTAAAGGGTATTTTGGCCATTTTATTTTATCAAAAAATTCTTTTTAATATTTTTTTTAGATGTACCCCATTGAGAAGATGGCATGTCCCAAATTTCATATTCATACAATTTATAAAAAAAAAAACTAAAAATAAAATACTCTGAAGCGTCGGATCTAGATCAAACGGTTAGTGGCTCACTTGATTTAGGAAAGTATAGAAACCTTTCCCTTATTTCATTTCAAATTTTTACTAAATCATAGTAAACAAAAGTTCTACTATTTACCTTAAATAGTTTTTCGACGCATGAAAGTTCAGTAAAAATATAAAATTAAGTACAAGTATAAAAATATTAAAAAAAATAATTATGGTTTCTGTTTTTTGTAGATCATTTCCAAATTTATTAATAGAAATTTGAAAGTTAGTCAAGAACCATTTTCAGATATTTTGAACATGGGCTTCAATGACTAACTATGCTGCTGAATGGAATAATGGATATGGATGTTAGAGAGGGAATGTCAGAGTATTGGATGATAATACGAGTCTCTAGGATGGTCTTTATATTGTAATGGTTTTGATACCAAACAATTTTCTTTTAAAAAGCACGGGTGATTTGATTATGAAAGTAGGGGACTCCTATCTTGTCAGGGGCAGCTTCATATAGTTTAACAATTCGGTTGACTTTATAACTACCACGTCGCACGATTCCTAGAAATGGCATACAAAGAAGGTTTGAGAAGCAAGGGGGAAGGCACCAATTGGTAAACACATTGTGTGATAGTGGGTATGCTACTCCCCCTTGTATGTGATGATTGAGAATTAATGAAATGTTCTGTTATGAAACAAATAAACAGAACAATTACATTAGTAAAAGGGCCGTATCCCAGTGCTGGTCCCGCCTACGCAAGGTCCCAGGAGGGTGAGCTGGCAACGGTCCTAACCTTTGGCTTTTTATGCACAAAGTGGCCGCTCGCAGGACTCGAACCTGCACTCTTGCACTGGTTACCCGAGCTTTTTACTGTCACACCAAGTGACAGCCCCAGGACAGTTTCATTAGTAATAAAAGAAAAAAAATTATGAATAAACACCCAAACAAATCAAAACGAAATAACTGCATCATAACCACTCTACAGAATGCAGGGACCCATCAAGAACTGACTCATCATTTGTTAATACCATTTGTTTATCAACTTATTTTAAGATCCATGGGCCTCAGTATTTGAGAAGTTTTATACACCTAATTAACAGCTAGTCCCAGTAATACATGCAAGCGTCCATCTCCTCCAAAGAAAAGTTCAATACATGTACGGTGTTTCTATACCGCAAGATAAATTCAATTAATTTCTCAATATCATTTAGACAGTTACTCATATTTTTGTGAACTGACATTTGGACAAGTGATGGTGTACTACAAGACCATCCATATTTGGTACAAGGCGGTCACAGCCACTCCGAGCCATTAGATGTAAAACTTGATGGCTTGAGGTGTGTTACAAAGTTCAAGAAATTTATTTTGGACTCTGTGCCCCAATTAATGGCACACCCCGAACCCGCCAATTTCAGATCTATTAGTCAACAGTGATTGTGACCTTATACCAAAAGTACATGGTCTTATTGTGAACTTTTCCTTTGGACAACAATTCTCTCTTCTGGGTACATATTTAAATGACAATGCTCAACCTACAATTTATTACAGTCCCTTTTCATGGTAGTGGTATAAATTGTTTGCAGCAGGTGAAAAATTCGGTCAAATCACCTGTACAACAATGGAATAAATAATGCTGCAGGTGGGAGTGTACATTTAAACTAAAGAACTCCAAAATGGAAGCACTGAAGCTGAAAGTAACTTCACAATAGCCCAGTACAGTGAAGGACAATCATATTCCACTAAGAGTTAAGAGAAAGGTGCAACTTTAGAAAAGAAGAATGATATTTAATACTTGTTTCAGTAAGCAACTTAGTATAAACCGAAACTCACCTGGACATTTTGCAGATTATCAGACTGTAAGATATCCGCCAACCTCAACAAAATATCAGACTTGCTCAGGCAGTTCTCCTTAATGGACAGGCAAACATCTATATCACTCTTACAAACACCAAATGAATTGGCACAGGATCCGTACAACAATAACCGAGCATCAGGCCACTCTTTGTTGACCAACTTCTCCATGGAGGCCAGCAGTTGTCTCTGCTTTGCCTTTTCTTCTTCAGCCGGTATTAGAGATTCATAAATAGCAAGAAAATGGGAGGTATGTTTGTACAAGTCCGTGCGGTATTCAAACTCCATTTTATAATTTTTCATACGGTGGTAATGGGGTCTCGGTCCTTGCCAGGAATCAGTTTTGAAGTCCCGCCCAGAAAATTCTCTAATAAGGTCCTGCTCATTAATTTTAAATACAAACACATAAATATGAAAGAGTTCTGAATATATGAATGCTAAACAGCTCAGTGTAAAAATCTCCCAAACTTTAGTAACATTGTCATCTTTCAGACATATAACAAGCACATAAACAAGTAATAGCAAATGATCCCTTCAAATATTAAATTCGCATGTCTACTCATCATCCAGTAATTCCAATAACAGAGCCATCAAAAGCATCAAGTAGTATTCAAGAGAAGGAAAATACAGCTAACAACAAATTAATAAAAAAAAAAGTACCCTAAATTCAAAGTCCAAGGTCCCAATTGGAGTAATGTTAAAACAATGCACAGAGATCATATTACAACAAGACAGACAATAAAGATGTAATGTTAAAACAATGCACAGAGATCATATTACAGAAAACCATTAAAAAATAAAGAATATAAGGTTCATTTAAGAGCAATTTCATATGGAAAATAAAGTGAAGTGTCGAAGTGTAAATAAGATATGTCAGGACTCAGGAGTGCAGTTATTTCTCCAAGCTTGGGTCTCTCCCTTCTAGTAAAAAGCTACAAAAGTTATAAAGTATAAACTGCATGTTGAAAAGTGAAAACTAAAAATCTCCAGCAATGAACAACTAAATGAAGAACCATCTCAAAGCCAAAGATCTCATCTTCAATGTGAGAATCATTAAAAGAGAGTGAGACAGAAAAGTAGAAGAAACATAGATTTGTTTAACATGGAATCCCAGACATGCCAAAGAAATTAGTTGCAAGAGTTCCAGGAAAGAACAAAAGGACAAAGAACCCATAATTTGCGCATACATAAGCACGAGAGAGAGAGAGAGAGAGAGAGAGAGAGAGAGATTCATCATCATCCAAGCCTTTGTCCTAACTAGTTGGGTCAGCTATATGAATTATGTTCCTCTATTCATAGGCTCAGGATTCATGATAAGATGTGGCAAAGTTTTACATTGGCTGCTGACCTAACGCAACCCACCTCCTTTACCCCGGACAGGCTAAGAGAAAGTTTACGGTCCTCACCCTTCTTAAGATAACCACGAACTACCAAGAGAAAAACCAAGAAAAAAGGGCTCAGAAAAAACCTGAACAGCACTGTGGAACATGTCTCCTGAGCCAATACCATCCTTGAATATCTTATTGATGTTGACAATGGCGTTGTTGGTCATAGCAGAACCACTGTTTGTGACATCATCACAGAGAGTGTGCCACAATTTAGGTTTGTAAAAGAGTCAGTTCGACTGACAGACAGTTTATGTCTGAGGTGGACCTGGATGCAACCAAGTCCAGATCCACCACACATGGACCTGACCCACCAGGTCCAATACCCAAGCCAGTACAAGATCAAGAAAGGATTAACCCAGAGGGGTCATAAGGTATACCAAGATCCACCTTGGACCTCTGGAATCACCAAACCCAATTGACAGCTCTACCTCTTTCACAATATTCTGAGAGTCACCATCCATAATCGGTCTCATTAGAGAGAAGGAGATGGAGCTAAGGGTTGTTTGGTTTCCATTGCGACCAATGCTCACCCCTTTCGAAAACTACTAATGGCTACAAAAAATTGCTAACACACTACTAACAGTCAACATTCAAAAAAAAAATGAAAGACAGAGCAGGGCCCACTTAGAGTGACTTGGGAGAATCCTGGGTAGGTTTGTTGAGTCTCATACTAAATAAACCCTATTTTTTTAAGAATATTCACAGGAAGCTTAAGGATTTGGGCAAACTCAGGTTAGACTCATACAGCAACGAAGATCAAGATTTGGACCAAAATCAAATCATCCAAGTCTGTAATCCAGAACCAACAAGGTGCCAATTCCAAGTGGCTCAGGCCAGGTATAAGTCAGCTCACCGAATTTTTAAACACTAGTTTTTCTTGCTCATTAATACAGCAAGGCTGTTTGCACAATAAAGTTAGAAATAGTGGCAATATATATCTTTTCCAAAAAAATGACATGTTGTTGTCTTTATTATTGAATCTACTCCCATGAATTCAAATGAAAATAAGAACACTAGAAGAATGCCAGCCCCCATTATCAAGGATCTGGCAGCTAAATTTAGATGAATGCTCTGATTCAATTTCAAAGATTCTTTTTTCTTTGTTTTTTATGGAACATGAAGTATCATGCAATAATACTTGCATATGTTTAATATAACAGTGCCGTAATAAACAATGCAGATGCCGAATACTCCTAGGATACTTGTGAATATAAAATAACTATATATTTTCTTGAAATTTATATAAAATTCACATGACAAAATGTATGCATAAAATGCAATGTGACAAGGCATATACGCCGACAAAATGGATGCATAAAATGCAATCATGCAATGTGATAAGGTATATATGCATCAATGTGTTTGTTGTATATATTTATGTCATATACTAGCTCAAATAGATGCTTATTGTTTTGCCATACATGAATGCATATCCATGTCCAGTATTTTGAGAAATGTAGTCAGATCCCAAATCTTCATGTCCGTCCGAGTATTATTATCAGGGCATCTTAGATGTGATGTGTCTTCACAACCATTGGGCAGAGATACCAGCATAGTCAAACAAGATTTTTCTCATTGGCTCAAAAGATTTTGGTGAGGCTCCCCTTTCTACTAAAGAGGACTCTTTTAGTGGGTTCGAGAAAGCAAACAGCATTATGGAACTTTTCCATATTTCTAGTTTGACTATGAAATTCAATGTTAAAAGAGTACTCACGCTCATTACTCAAAAAAAAAAACAAAGACTAATCAGGCTCATAAGGTAACACAGTCTATGGAAAATAACTTAGGTAGCCTGAATTCAACTGGTGATTGGGCGTTGGGATTCTAACAAAACTTAGTTTTAACAACTTTACCTCCTACTGTAATATTTTTAATTTATTCAATAAATACTACTGTAATATTTTTATTTTCTTTATTTTTTGGGGTAATTCAGTGGGGAAGACAGGCCCCTACCCATTTTTTCAATAGATTGGGGAGTTACATTTTGAGGTGTTAATTGGGGGTGTCAACAGTAGGAATGGACACCACGATGTGGTAACTGGGTGTGGAGATGCTACCACCACGACCCCAGCCCCTTTCCTATTATATTTTTAATTTATTCATTAAATACTACTAACTACAAGGATTACCCAAAAAAGTGATAGCACCAAATTGCTAAGTTATTCCCTAAAGCCAAACGAAAAATTTTATATTTCTCTCTAGAAAAAAGAAAGAATTGAAACATGACCAATTATGATACAACCAGGGGCGTAGCCTACAATCGAATTTCAAGAGAGAAAAAAGAGTATTTCCAATAGACAGAGATTCCTTCTCACCTCCCACTCGATTCCCTTCTCTGAGCACATGGGAGAAAGAAAGAAAGACCCCCACCCCTAACACAAGAATCTCTTCCATAGTATAGTGGTAAGTCACTTCGGGGAAAAACTATCTTCCAAGCCCATATGTTCACATTAAAAGAATCACCTCTAAAATCCAGATGCCAGAGAAAATAATAGAAAACCCTTAAGGCCTGTCAGGCTCCCATTTCAGGAACCACTAAGTCCTAGCTTCATGCCGGCTCTGGGTAGGTCTCAAGTATTGTACAGAAGTTGTCTATAATCGTGTTCAACTAATTTAAGTTGTTGTAATGATAGACATCCAATCATCAACATTCTTCCAAAATAGTGCCCATGAAATTCTGTCCTCAAACTCTTCATATTGTCACCTAAGAGAGCTTTTGATTTTGAAGGTCATTCCTTCTGGCGTTGTTCCTCAAATCCATGCTTTTGCACCTCCAAGCAGGAAAATTTTCTCCTACAAATTAAAGTTTCCTTTGGAGAAAACCTCCACAATTAAAATCCTCCTTCACTAGGCCCAAAGACTTAATTAAAAAGAATTACCCGATCAAATGCCATTAATTGCCCACCAGTTATTTGCAGCACCTTTACATCCATCCTACTCGAGGCCTCTTCTGCAGTACCTCCCAATATGATAGCAATGGAAGCATAGATGTAGCAAATATTGAACAACATAGGTAAGTTGAGGATTGCCCAAGAGTCAACCAAGCCTATGGCTCAGTAGTCAGACACCAGTGAGAGGTCATGGATACAAATCTCTCTCAAACCAAGCTGACCTACCCAAAAGAAAAATTACAAAGAACATCACCATATTTCCAGGAATGAGCATCAGGCTTCATCAGATATCTTATTGACAATTGAAGCACCATACCCAGATTCAAATCCCACCACCAACCTAACCAAAATAACAATAATAGTAATGGTAATAATAGCGGTGGTAGTAGTAAACTAGTTATAGTAGTAACAGTAGTAGTAATAGTAGTAGTAGAAGAGTAATTGCTTAAGAAGCACCATCTTCGTAACAGGAATGCCACCAATGAAGGGCAGCCTATCTTCTGGAAGCCAAACTTCTAACAAACATGTGGGGTGACCACTCCAAACCCATAACATTTCATTATACGCATCCTTCATTTAAACTTCCTGACTCCCCCAACCCTGAAAACATTTGCATATCCTAGAAAAAACTATTCTTCAATTATCCTATCCAACCGCATCGTTCAGTATATTCTTCCGATGTTTTTGCCACTACCAAAGCATTTGGTAATAGGAAGATGTGCAAGAAAGACACCACCACCATGCTCAATGATTTCTACTTTGATAGTGCCATCGGAAACCTCTTCCAACAATTACTTACTCCTTTCTAGATAAAAAGCTCAACACAAGAAGAGGAACCATTTTAGCCCTAAGCCCTATCCACAATCCTACAATTAGCTCCCCAGGTTTTAAGCATTCTACCACGTATAGTTAAGCAAAACTAGCACCCTTAAATGATTCCCTTCAACGTCCACCACACCAACCTCAAAAAAAAAAACATAAGCCATCTCAAGCATCTGCAAACAAATTTTCCTTTGTGGTAAGAAGACAACCGACCAGGTCACAAATCAATTTGAAAATAGAAGAACACGGGTCCAATTTGATACCGACATTGGAGAAACAATAGAATTTTCTTATAGGGTTCAAACCCGGGGATCATTTGTTTCAAGTCCAATCCACATCCAACATGCGACATTGAGCCTTGTTGGAATACATTTAACAGGAACTTTTTCTTCTTATGAATTGTGAAGCACATTCTCATAAGATAAGATCAATCCCAAATTCTGACTAATGGACATCAAGTCATATCTCAACTACATCAAAGATTGGGAATTCATACCTCCAAATTTATCTACAGAACAGTAGCCTCAATCAACCACACAAGTCAATTGCAACAAATGTTTCTAAATAGAAGTCCATATGCACGTCAAATATATTACAAACAAGCATCCCATCCGAACATCATCCACCAAAATAAACTCAGGTTTGATTTCAGAAATACACTGTAGTTTTACAGCTACGAACTTTGCATAGATATGTTTTTATATCTCGCATTGAAAGTCCTCCTTCCTTATTGGAACATATATATGATTAGATGCATATGAAGTTAAGAATCAGTCGTATTTGTACACGGAATCCCTAAAATTGATAATGGTTGGTAAATTAAAAAGAAAATAAGGTGCTCCTGCCCCTAAAATATGGAAAAGGGCGCCCGCTTCCTTCGTGATACATTTTTTTAGATGGTGGATTTCTATCTTGAATGGGTTTTGCTTCCTCTCTTCTTTTTTTTAACATTACCGAGTCAGGTTCTTCTCCTACCGGTATCGAATAGAACATCTTCATGTAAAACATGCTCGATTTAGATCGGGAAAATGGTACGGATTTTATGAAACCATGTGCTATGGCTCGAATACATAGTCAATCCTATTTCCGATAGGATATACAAATTTGACAATTGAATCCAATTTTTTGCATAAAGTAAAGACATGAAAGAGAATAGGGTTTACCTTACCACCAGAACCACCTGGATCATCACCTGCATTGTTTGTAAGGACGCCATCTCGAGGTACCACCATGCCATTCAATCCCTCTACCAACTTATCATTGCCTCTGTGCCCTTCTCTTCTATGATTGGGTTCACTAAAAGCTGCTCCATTAACAACACCATTGCTACTCCGCTGTCCCCTTGGCCTTTCTCCTGGAAACGAGCCAGGTAGGTTGTTGAGAGATTGATCGATATTCGACCCTTGGACAGATTGCACGTTGCTTCCCACTGGAGGGCCAGGATGGTCAAGCTGAACAGAAAGTGGCAATGTGGGGGAAAAGCTATCACCGTTTTGCTGACAATAATGATCAGAGTGGTCCATTCTGTCCACTCGATGCCTCAGGACACCTCCCTGTTGAACACCCCTATATGACAAACCAGTGCTTCCTGAAACAATTTGATCCCTTGCATGAAGCTGTTTGTGAAAGTTGGGATCGTCTGAAGCTTCTCCGTTATCTCCATCCCGCTTCTCATTCACTACAACCCGTCGTCCGTGCTCCTTCCCGTTGTTTCCAGGTCTTCTAGAAAAACCTGGTGGCCTGCTACATTCCTTAGCGCTACCATCAGCAGCAGCATTAGAACCACTGTAATTCCCCCTTCTCTGATGCTGACTCCCACTGTTTGCTCCACTCATGCCGCGTGCGCCATCATCTCTCCCCACGTGCCCATGAATGTTAACATTGCTGATTCCGTGGACAAGAGATTGTAACAATGGCTCTTTACGTCTCTCAGAATTCACCTCCTGTACCCTCACACCAGCATTCCCTTGGAGCTGCAATTCACACCCTATGGAACCAAACTGCAAAGGCAAACCGCCCTCCATCCTGAGACCCGCAGAATCCCAGCCAAAAGTCCCCTCTTTCTCCATCTTCACAGGGCCAAAATCACCCCGCAAAGAACTGCTATGGGGCAGAGGCACTCTCAACAGGCCATCCTGCAAGGGAGGACCAGCCCCCTGCCGCTGCCCGGGGAAAGACACAGCCCACGGGCTCTCCAAAGACCAGTTCTGCCCCGCCCCAGAATGGTGAATCTGGGGCCTCAAATGAAAGGAGTGGTGCGGGAGGGGAAGGCTAGGGCCAAGGGCAGCCACTGCAGGGTCATCTAACTGGCCATATCCAAAAGGGTGTTGTGGGTCTTGTGAAGAAGAAGACGAAGAGCTCTGGTTGTTGGAGCTGTCATGGCGTTTCTGGAGCAATTGCAGAAGGAACTCGCCGTGAGAAGGAGAAGGAATGCCCTCACCTAAGGGCCTGCCTTGACCTACCACGCCCACTTGCTCCTCAGCCATGGCATCCGCCCCTGTCGCTCTCTGGTGGTGCTTAGAGAGAGAAAGAGATGGGAGCAGTAATGGAGAGCACTGCAAACAAGTGAGATAAAGGTTTAAAAATGGTAAAAATTGGGATCAAGGAAGGAGATTAAAGAACAATCCCCAATCCATACTTTTCACATCTTTCCCTTTGTAACAGGATAATTCTTTTCATGATAGAATTGCTTTCAGCCTTTCACCATGCGCCTGGTGCCTTTTTTTTTCACTCTTTTGCCTACTATTTAGTCTATGCTACCGAGGGAGTTTACAATCGTTTGATTAATTAAACGTGCGTGAAACTTTTGTTGGACGGTCCAGAACGGAAAACATGCAACTGTATATTGCGAGGTTCACCTTTGCTTCCTTCGTTTGCAAGCAAACACATGTACCTTACTAAAGTCCCACTTTTGTACTCGTATGTTTGGAAATAAGTAAAGTTAGAGATGAAATTTTCTCAGCATTCAAAGTTATGTATTTATAAAAGAGTGTGGTTTCCCTAAGGTTGCAACCTTAAACCCTCCAACTAAGGTGCACCTTCAAATTTTAACATAATATATAATTTTGATGTAAAATGTTCTTAGTATGGGTACGGGTCAGGTCCAGCTGGACCCAATCCCAAGTAGTATTCAAGTCCAAATTTTGGACGCCATACCCGGACCCAAGGTCGGGTATACCTGTCGGGTCCACGTCTAGTCGGGTCCGTTGCCACCCCTAATATTAGGGCACAACACAAGCGCTTATGAAGAGTGGTAAGGAACTTCATGGTATTCCTCATGGTCTTCGAGGTCCTTTAACCTGTCTTTCCAAAAAGATCAAGTCAGAAGGGACTCTGACGTGCATCACGCATATAACATTTTCTATTTGCTCCCTATGAATTGGTGAGCTAGATTTCAGCTCAAGAACAGACATGGAAGTTGAATCCACTGTAAGTGCTCAAGTTGTATTTTAGAGGAACACTGTTGAACCTCTTGTGTGGGTTGCAAAACAATGGTTTGTTTCGAGGTAGACTACGACATCCTTCCTTCAAGGGTAGAAAGTATTGTTGATTTGTAGGTTTGCCCCTGTTTTGTGAGCGAGTTTACAAAACTGTCAGAGAGACCAAGAGGAGGGAATTGCATGGGTGATGTGATTGCGGCCATTGGAGGGTTCACAGAGCCACCAGAGATGGTAAGGGGAGCCACGCTATTAAGGATGATTGCTGCTAGTGAGGGATGGATATCAGGTTCCTTGCTTTGAATGGAGATGGAAGTCGGTAAAGAGTTCTACATCATTGAGATTTCTGAACTATTGAGGTCATGCCAACCTTAAAGTTGATCTTCACTTGTAATATGGTGAGTGAGGTTTGGTTGGATATCTTCATTGTAGGATATATTAAGGATTGTGTGATTTTGTTGCTCAACAGTCTCAGAATCTATAATGGCAATGGGTCATGGGTACCATTTGTTGCTTTTGGAGCAGGGTCATGCTTTGGGAGAGGATCATTAGAGATCTTGAGTTTTTAGTTTTGCAATTGGACGGACTTTTATTCAGTCTCATTTACCGTAATTTGACCCATATCGATGAGATCATGATTGCATTATGAAGCCATAGACACTGATCGATACTTATGGACTTGGTTGTAGTGCTAGTGGCACCACTTAGTTTATCTCTCACCTTGTAGGCCAAAGGGAGAGTATTCTCTATAATGGTCACTAATTTGCGATCAAGTAAGAGCTCAAGGCCCAATGGGCAATGTGATGTTCTGTTGGAATAGTTTAATGTAACCGTGTTGACAATTTGTATATATCGGTTACCTCAAAATCTGGGATTTCTCTCTATCACCTCTATCACCTTCTATTTTTACTCTTCTCTCTACGTTGAAGTTGTAATATATATAATGTAAGAGAAACAAGGAGTTATATGATAATAACAAGCAATCTCCCTTCTCGTGAATGTAGGCAACTATGCCGAACCGCATAATTTTTTCTTTGTTTTTATCTTTATCAACATGGTATCAGAGCGGAAAATTTTTCCGGTCTCTAGGGTTGTAGAACTCAAACCCTAAACCCCAAACACCAATATTTCTCCTTTCTTTCTCGCTGTAACGATATGACTTCTGAAAATGAGCACGAGCACCACGACCTCCAAATTTCTTAGGCTCACAGAATCATACCTCACCAACAGATCTTTGATCTCCTTCTTCGATTGCTCGTCAACGTATTTCTGGTAGAAAGCAGGCAGAGCCTTTGATCTCCTTCTTCTATTGCTCATCAACGTATTTCTGGTAGAAAGCAACCAGAGCCTTAGCAATGCTCTACCTAATGGCATAGATTCGAGAGGTTTGACCTCCTCCATTGACCCTAATCCTCATGTTGACGCCTGCAAACCGATGGCGACCAAGAACTAAGATAGGTTCATAAGCCTTATAACGAAGGATGTCGGAGCTCATAAGTTCGATAGGACAGTCATTGATCTTGATGAGACATCGGCCTCTTTTACAGTAGGTCATCGCCACTGCTATTTCTTTCGTCCAAAGCATTGGTGGGACTCAACATCCTGTAGTGCTTCAATCGCCATTGATGAAGCTTCAAGCTTTCCCTCACTCTCTCTCTTTGGGGCAGCCCCTCTGCTGCGGCTTCCCCTATTTCATTGTGCTTTCCTTTACCGTGATATCCGTGGGCTTGCATATTGATCGTGAGAGTGACAACGTTTGCATTTTTGTTTTTGGGTATTTCAGTGTTGTGGATTAATTCTTCAGCTACTTGTGTGCATTTTCCAAGGTCAGTAATTTTCTTTGGGCTACACTTATTTTCTTCATGGCTGAAAATTCAAACTCAAATGAATCCAACCCAAATTTGAAAATTACTTCAGAACTTTTTAAGGGTGAGAGCACTTATCTTTTTTGGTCCAATTTTGCAAAAATGTTTATTAGTGGAAAAAGAAAGTTGCCTTACCTAACTAGGTCAAAAAAGAAGGCTCCAAACAAAAATGACTCTAGTTATGAGGAATGGCAAACAAACAATGACCTCGTAAGGTTTTGGTTGTTGAATTAAATAGAAAGAAAATTAGCCAAAGGGCTTCAGTTTCTTTTTATTACTAATGCCATTTGGAATAAAGTCAGAGAATTATATGGCAACTTAAATAATGCTTCCAAGATATATCAAATTAAACAATATATTATGCATTTAAAAAAGGGAGAACAATCTGTTTGAGAATTAATTGGGACTGTGAGTGGCTTGTATGATGAACTTGATTATTATCTGCCTGCTACAACTAATATAAACACTTTTGAAACTCGTAAGGACCAAGAAATGACATTTGCCTTGCTTTCGGCTTTGGGTCCTAAGTATGAAAATGTCAGAGTTAGGTACTCTCAACACCTACCATGCCAGATTTTAGCACTGTTTGTTCCATTCTTTCTAGATAAGAGACACGATGTGTTGTAATGTCAGATGATGCTAAAAATAAAATTGATGTATTTGATCACTCTATCTTGAAATCTGAAAGTATTGAAGGGCCTAGAAAAGCCTTACCATCTAAGAATACTTTTTCTCATAGCAAAGGGAAGAATGGAAATCAACCTTACTGTACTGACTGCTAAAAGAAAGAGCATGCAATAGAAAATTGTTGGAAATTGCATCCAAAAAAAAAAATACAATTCCAAACAAAAAGAAAGATGCCCAATCAGGCTGAGAACAATACTCAACAAACCCTTGATAAATTGGCTCAACTCCTTCAAAATTTTGGTAAGGCTTATGTTGCATCTAATTCCCAAAGTTTCAGTAGTGAGCTACGTAACTCTTTTTTACTTTATCATTCTTTATCTTCTTGGATTATTGATTCTGATGCCACTGACCATACGACAGGATCTAAACAAGTTCTAACTCAATATCATACCGCTCAAAAAAAGACTCATGTTACTATTGCTAATGGGTCCATGGTTTCTGTTAAGGAAGTGGAAAAACAATAGTTTCTCACAATCATCCTAGTACTGATGTTCTGTACTGACCTGATTTCTCATCAAACCTCCTTTTTGTTAATAAAATTACACAAAATCTTAATTGCAATGTTATTTTCTCTCCTACCAATTCACGACCAGGCCACAGGGAGGATGATTGGTGAGGGTCGGTTAGAACAAGGTCTTTATATATTGGATATCCATTCAAAAGCGTTGGTTTCTAATAATAAGAAGGTAACAAAGAGCCAGTGGTGACATTGACGTTTTGGTCATCCTTCAGATGGAGTACAAAGAGTTCTCTTTCCTCATTTGCATTTGGAGTATGAAAATTGTGATACCTGTCAGTTTGCTAAACATACTCGTTTTCCTTTTAAGAGTTCAAGTAGGATTTCCTCGACTTCTTTTAATCTGATTCATTTTGATGTATGGGGACCTGCACCTATCCCCTCATATCGAGGACACCATTATTTTTTAACTTTTAATGATGATCTCAAGAACTACTTGGGTTTATCTTTTGCAAACTAAGGATCAAGTTTTCCCAACTTTTCATCATGTTTTTTATCTAAAAGATCTCGAGAAAAGTATTTTTTGGGTATTGAAGTTGCATACTAAAAAAGGGCACTTTCATGTCTCAAAGAAAATATACTTTGGATTTGCTAAAAGAAATTGGTAAATTAAGCGCTCGTCCTATTGAAACACCAGTTGAAATAAATAAAAAATTAACTCTTGATGATGGAGAACCAATCAAAGATATTTCAAGATATCAACGACTTGTGGAAAAATTAATTTATCTAACTATCACTAGACCAGACATCACTCATGTTGTGAGTCTAGTTAGTCGGTTCATGCATGGACCTTGCACCACACACATGGAAGTTGTCAAAAGGATATTAAAGTATCTTAAAAGTTCTCGAGGAAATGGAATTCTAATGAAGAAAAATGGCCATACTAATATTATGGGATATTGTGATGCTGATTGGGCAGGAGATCCTTCTTATAGGAAATCCACTATAGGATTTTGTACTTTTATTGGAGGAAATTTAGTCACTTGGAAGAGTAAAAAATAAAGCGTTGTAGCTAGATCTAATGCTGAAGCTGAATACCGAGCTATGGGTTCTGCAGTGTGTGAACTAATCTGGCTCAAGGCGCTTCTTCAGAATCTTGGTTTCAAAAACTCCACTCCAATTAAGCTCCCTTGTAATAAGCAAGCCGCTATTAACATAGCATCAAACCCTGTGTTCCATGAATGAATT